GATGCTCATGATGCTTGCTTTCAGGTCTGCGTTCAGGCAAGACCGGTGGCTGGGGACCAGGAGATGATCAACACCTTAAGCTGATAAGTGCTGCTGCTCCGAGGACGACCATCCAATTTTCAATGGACCGTAGTGTGTGGTAGGTGTATGCAGGTATGGGTTTGGGAGTCCAACAAAAATACTATAGGGGCCGAAATATTTGCCACTACTTTTCTGGGGTTCCTGATGATAGGTATAATAGAACGTGCCCCAAAAGCCTATTCTAGTTTTTGAGGCTTCTATGTTAACCGTCAGTCCTTAAAGCTTCGGACTTGTACATCATCATCGAAAGCTTTCAAAAAGGGCAGGGGTTGGTGGAAGGTTTTGGGTCGCGGTGCACAGTGACGGTACTCTGTGTATATGCCCAGCTCTGTTGCACACGCCATGGTAGAAGAAAGCTTGCCAAACGGCTCAAACGCACGCCTTCTCGGATGTCCTTTCTGAAGGGTGGTACGGGGGTGTCCTTTATAGGAGGAGTTGCGCAGGATTCAGGGGACTTATAACTTTGTGGTTCGTGGTGTCTCAAACCGTATCCCGAAGCCTAAGGCCTAAGCATAGAAACTTTTCAGCTCTAGGACCTCGTTCCGACCAAATTATGCCCCAGGCCCTCAACCATAAACCATAAGACATACTGAGCTTCATCCTCGGTTTAGGAGAAGTAACCCTAAACCCTAAACCCACAAAACTTTGGGAGTTTACGCTCAAACGCTTCAGAAAAGCATTCAACAGCCCTATATAACTCCAAGAACTCTAACACAAAGAGCTTGTGCTGATACAGGCATAGAAATTCAAAGCTCTCCGAAATTACGCCAACAAAGTAGCAAGCATGCATCAATAAAAAAGTTAACTGATAACTCGCTCCCTCTCTCTCTCTATTGTATATTTATATGCTATCTCTTATTCTCTCACTATGCAGCAGGTTTCAGTGCCAACAAATGATTTTAAAAAATAGAGAGCAGACAGACACGCGAGGCAGAGTCGGTCGCGACGGGGTTCGCAGTGTCCAAGGCACCAGGGCCCTGTTTGGCGAAGGATCGCTGCATGTTTGTGGTTTAGGGTTTAATGTGGGGGCCGTAATAATTGGAATAGGG